GAGAACTGAATTTGCATCTCAGAGCTCCCAATTGGATTTTTTGCTGTTTTCCTTGTGCTGTTTCTGTGTTTTTAATCTGATAAGAAATAGTTTGCAAACTAAAAAAACAAAGTAAAGCAAAGGCAACACCTGATGAACTGAGCACAAAAGGAAATCCAACAATTCTGCTATGTCCCTGTTGGTTAGTGTTTTTCTAAGTAGCAAGAATCAGAGCCTAGCTTGTTTTTTTCTTGTTTTGAAACTGGACCATTGAAAACACCTCAGTAATAATAACTGCAAAAAGATGAAAGAACAATGACTGAATGACTGTGTTTGGGGCATATTATATTTTACAATTCCACGTAAAGATCGGCATTGATAGGCCCTTTGGGCATAGACTAGGGCTTGGAAGGAGGTAAGAGGTTTAAGATCAAGAAAAACAAGGGAGCGACCACACTGGTACACTTGACCCATCTACAGGTGAGGGTGCTCACAGGGAAAGCAGCACAGGGCCTGGACTGTTACTGTCACAGTTCAGAAGGCCAGGAAGTGAAGGAGAAAGAAAAAAAATGGCCCCAGCCCAAGGGCAGTTGGCCCAGTGCTGACCTTGACACTGTAGGAAGTCCAGAGAATGGCTACGAGAGTTCAAGGAAAGACTAAAATCAACTGCAATGGATAAGCTGCAGTGGATTCTTTTAAAAATTAGAGAAATAATGATATCATCACATTTTCCACTCTTTAATTATTTCTGTATCTTGATTTAGAGTGTGACTTCAGATCAAACACTTTCCATTCTCTGGGTCCCAGATTTCTCATCTGTACAAAGAGGTGGGTTCAGGTCACTGTCGCAGTTCAGGCTGCTATCACAGACTACCATAGACTGAGTGGTTCAAACAACAAGCACTTGTTTCTCATAGTTCTGGAGGCCGGAAGTGCAAGAACAGGGTGCCAACTTGGGGTTCTGGTGAGGGCCCTCTCCCTGGCCTATGGAAGGCTACCATCTTGCTCTATCCCACATGGTGGAGAGAGAGTGGTCTGGTCTCTTCATCCCCAAGAAAGGCACCAGTCCCATCGTGGGGACTCTACACTCATGACCTTATCCAAGCCTCATGACCTCTCAAAGGTCTGACCTTCAAATACCATCACATTGAGGATGACGGCTTCAATATATGGATTTGGGGAGGACAGGAATGTTCAGTCCCTAGCAATTACCTCTGAGTCCCTTCTCTCTGATACTGTAGATGAAGGTTCCTTATTGTCCACCAAATCAAATTCAAATCATCTGTCCAGCTTTCAAGATCTTCCATAATTGGATGCCACCCAAGGTATCACATGTGTCTGATGAACTTTCACCTGCCTTTAGATCAATCTCTAGCATGCCTTCACTACAAGCTATATTAATCCATTGCCTCTACTTTTTTCCATGTTCACTCTCCTCTCTTGGAGACCACTGAACTCTCTCCATTGCCTCAAGGACTAGCCATTTTGTGGGAGCCATTCTTCCAGTCCTCAGACCATCTCACAGGAAAGAATAACATTAATACAAAGTTTTCCTCCTGTGTACTACAGAGGAAATTTTAGGATTAGCATAGGCAGGATCTTATTTATTTATTTTTAAGATTTTATTTATTCATTCGAGAGAGAGAGACAGAAAGACAGAAAGAGAGAGAGAGAGAGAGCACACAAACACGGGGAGAGGCAGAGGGGTAAGGAGAAACACACTCCCTGTTGGCCTGGAACCCCAACGTGGAGCTCGATCCCAGGACCCTGAGATCATGACCTAAGCCAAAGGCAGATGCTTAACCATCTGAGCCACCCAGGTGCCCCACAGACAGGATTTTAAAAGGGAAGTTGTTGTTGTTGTTTCGTATTGTTTTAGCTCATGTAAATGCCAGTTCTAAAAATTTGAAATTAAACTTAATATGTATAAATCATGGCCCAGAGCTGCTGCTATTAATCACAAAAATCAAAGATTAACAGCATAGGAAAAGACAAAGGACATCAATTTAAGGTAAATTACAGCTGAATATATATAGGATCACACTTTATAGCTTTACAAATACCAAGCAAATTCTCTGATATTTGTGATAATATAAGAAGGTCACAGTATTAAGGATTTGCCTTTCGTTGTAACATTTTACTGAAAACCATTTGTACGCCTCCACACTAGGATTCAGTATTAAATATTTAATAAAAAAAGATTCCAGCTTGGATTTTTTCCCTAGGACTTGATCTATGGTAATCTTTTGAGAAGTTCTGAAGCTGAAGGCAATAAAAGACATTCCTGCTTCTGATAATTGTCCATGGTAAGTCATTACCGCTCTTAGGAATACAACACATAATACAATTTGAAGAAACATCTGTAATGGATACCTGAAATTGTAAGAACAATACTATTCTAAAACCAGAAAGAGTTTATGAGCCTTTATTCCTGCTCCATGGGAATGCCTAATAATGACTCTACTGATAATATGGTCTAAGCAGACAACTTACAAGAGAGAAAATGGAAACTTTGGGGAAAATTTCAACATTATTAATAATGACACAATTTTATTTTCCAACTATACAAATAGTAATGAAGTTTGTGTTAAAAGAGATGGAGGGAAAAAAGAAAAAAAGGAAAGAAAAAAAAAAAAAAGAACCTCCAGGAGTTGAGAGCATCTCAGTCTCCTTGAAGTAGAGAGATGTGTATGCTAGACGGCGCCCTTTGCCCCCCAGGTCTAGTCTCTAACCCATTTCCCCCCTGCTTGTGCCTTTGGAGACAGAGCTTATCCAGAGGTATCAGTGGGGCTCCCTTGCCTCTGGCTTGCGGTCAGCCTCAGCCAATGGGAGACACCGGCAGAAGGTCAGTGGGAGGAGTCACAGGGGTTGTACTTCCCTCCCAAACACCAGAGCTCTCAGCGGTGCCCTTTTCTATAGCTACAAGTCTAGCTAGTTTCAGGTAACTGCTCCTTTTCTTGCCATTTCAGATTAAGGGGTGGCTGTGGCCTCTTGCCGTTGTTAGCTCTGGAGTGCTTGTCCATCTCTTCTTGGTTTTCCTTACCTTGGCCACAACTTACAAATTATCCTTTCATTAAATCCATTCCAATCACTTTTGAGTTTGCCATCCACTTCCTGCCAGGACCCTGAGATCTCCAGAACATTTGCCCGTCTACTCAGTCCCCTAAACAGTCTAGGACATCTTTTCATCCAGTCCTCTTCTCCTCCTATAGCAGATAATGTCTGCTGCTTTGGTTTCTTCAGAATCCATACAGTCTGTTCCTTGCACAGCAGCCAAACCTTCCATTAGAGAACCACCTCTCCTCATTTCTCAGGGCACAAGGTTTGGATGAGACTGATCTCAGCACAACCCAGGGTGAACATCTGATCTAAGTCAGTTCCATTAGGCTTAATCTCAGGACTTCTATTGGAACCATGAGGGCAAAGAGGCTTTTATTCAGGTAGACAAGTAGCCGTAATGGAAAACATAAGCCTGGAACTGTCGGGCCAAGGATGAGGGCTTGCCTACATGTACACCGATGAAGTGGGCAGGGTGCAAAAAGATGGAGAAGCAGGCCTAAGAACATTATTTGGATCCCCGGATCCCACCATGCCTGAAGCTGATCCTTGGGTACTGTTCTCTATGTGTTCTCAAAAGTGATACATCCCTTTTTTGCTCAAGCTGAGTTGAGCTTTCTGTCATTTTCAATGGAAAGATCCCCCACACATTTGGAGGAAGTAAAAAGTAGAGAGTATTGGAGACTGTTGACTTACAAAATGATGCCATCCCCATCTGCTGTATTGTTTTCATCGAGAACCCCAGCACACGGGTCATGAGAGGCTACCTGCGTTCTTGTTTACTACACTTTCGGTGCTACCACCACCTGCATTGTTCCTTTCATCCTTTGAAATCTGTTTGAGATGGGACAACACCAAATCAAACAACCTACTCTGTGTTGAACTTTGTGACTGAGACCCAGGCATGAACTGGTACAAACAAAGAACAATGGTGGAAAACAGCCTAATGCTGTGTTCAAGTATTATTTTCAAGTACTGTTTGACTGGGCCTTCTCAGATGACATGGTTCCCCGGCAGGAAAGCTGTTTATTGTGACAATCATCATTCCCATTTACTGCCTATTACAATGTGAGTCACTGGGAGGTCAGACTGGTCCAAAAGCCCAGTGTTCCTGAGCACTCCAGGTCAAGTTCAAGGGACAGCAGTCAGGTATAGGGATAATGGCAAAGGCTGAATGCTTTGACATAAAGAGAAGGGTTAACTCCCAGCAGATGGCTGCAAAGTGAGTTTACTGTCTTTAAGGTATCATGTAGCTTGGGAAAAGAAATCAGAGGGACAGTGTTAACATGTCCCCAGGTCCTTTTCCACAGTAGCTGTCCTCCCTGAGAACAAAGATTAAATCTTCATTCATCCTTAAATACTTCACTCCTGCCTAGTACCCGGCCCCGCACAAAACAGGAGCTCACGAATGACGACCTTCGGGGCTTGCCGGCTTCAGAATACAGATAAAATACGAGATAACGTGTCAGAAGAGTCCACACCTGGTAGTTGCTAAAGCTCTTTGCTATTATTGCTATTACTTGTAAATGAATGTATCTATGTTATTAATGAGCAGGTTCATGAAAACTCACAGAAACCCCCTTTTTAAGCAACCTTTTCCACTTCCTCACCTCACAAGGCAAAAGGCCCATTGTGCATTTGAGTTATTTTCCCTCACCTTCACATGTGTGACAAACGACGCCATCTACTCCCTCACTCATCCATTCACCAATCTGCCAATACCTGCAATTTGCAATGTATTGGACTCTATGTGGGGGAATCAAAGCTGATTAGGACACAGCCCCCCCCCACCCCCATGTATAATGCAGGTCTGCTGGAAACGGACAGGAAGTCCAAACAGCCCACAAATGAGAGATCCAGCCTATGGAACGAAAAGCATGCTTGCCACAAGTGCTGGGGGTACCCGGGGGTAGGGGCGGGGGCGGGGCGCGGCATATCTACTCCCGAGGGAGCCTTTTCCGTACCTTATCTGCAAGCCAGCCAAGATGCCTGATCTCTCGGCTCCCAGCAATGCCCGTTTTCCCCAGCTGCTCTCTGACCTCCGCGATCACTTGGGTTAGCAGGTCACTAACATTGGAATGGATGGCACTGAACCAGGCCTGGGCGGTGGCTGAGTCCTTGCTCCTTAGGATCACCGTGTGCTTTGCATCTGGAGAGTGGATTTCAAGCTGCCTAGAGAAGCAGAGAGAGAAGGGTTAGAATGCTCCCTAGTAGGTCATGCTTTGTCAAGTCCTGGGACACAAAAATGAATTAAATTCTCTGCTCTCACTTTCGGACTTTGCCAGCTTTACCTGGTTTATCTGAATGCTCCCCTCATTCATTCATTCATTCACTTATTTGTTCATCCACAAACATCCACCGAGAGCTAAGGCATTGGTCTAGGTACTGGGGACACAGTTATTCAAGCCCCAGATCACCTGAATTAAGAATGTCTGGTTTTCCTGTTATTCAGCTGACTGGCTTATCCACAGTATCATTTCAAGACTTCCAAACTTTGAGCTGATACTAATTTGCTTTACCTCTCAATCCACAGAGGATTTTAAGAATGTACTCACATGCTTGCTGGAAATAGCTAGCTCATGCTTCATCCTACTGCTCAGAGGTAACTGTGAATATTTAAGAACCAAAGAGGACCACACTTTGCATTCCTTCGGAATCCTGTCTGTGGCACATTTCCTACGATTTAATCCTTGGGCATGTGTAATGAAGAAACGAATTGGCTTAGGAAGGGGTAACTTTACAGTGGGGGAGAGAGGTGCACTAAGGGCTTTCTTTAAGGCAGAATAAGAAAGGAAAGAAAGAGGGCACCTGGGTGGCTCAGTGGGTTAAAGCCTCTGCCTTAGGCTCAGGTCATGATCTCAGGGTCCTGGGATAGAGTCCCACATCAGGCCCTCTGCTCAGCAGGGAGCCTGCTTCCTTCTCTCTCTCTCTCTCTGCCTGCCTCTCTGCCTACTTGTGATCTCTCTCTCTGTCAAATAAATAAAGAAAATCTTTAAAAAAAAAAAAGAAAGAAAGAAAGAAAAGAAGGCAAAAGTCAAACATCAAAGCTTACCCCGCAGGTCCACAGGGACCACCCAAGATACAAGTGAGATTTGCATACTGTGATTGTGGTAAAAGAAGGACGTTCTAGATAGATTTTTTTTAAAGTACTCCTAGATTAACAAGCTATTGCAAAAATAGTATATATGGACCATATAATGGAACTCTCTGTCCATTATAACCTTCTCCCAGTTTTTCCCTCAGGTTATGGAATACAATATGGAAACTGACATTGGTACAACGTAGGTGTGTGGTTCTTGTGCCACTTTGTCTCCTGTGAATCACAACACTCAGAACACACGACTATTCCAATCCCAAAACCCTCCCTCCAACCACTCCTGATAGTTATGATGCTCCCCTCGCCACTGTCATCCCCAAATCCCCAGCAACCATTAACCTGTCCTTCATGCCTATACTTTTTACACAGCTAATTTGTATTGCAGGGCGAGCAAAAACCCCACATTTATTCATTCATGCATATATCCAAGTAAATATTTTTACATTGACGTTTGCATCAGAAAGAGAGGAATTGGGAAAATTCAAAACTGAAGAAAAATGATCCATTTGTTATTTCGTCCCTTAATTATTATGCTACCATGCGTTGGATGTTTACTATTTACATACGGATCTCCTAATTTCTCTAGGACTGATAATTATTAGTCCAACTTAACAGAAGGAAAAAACTAGAGTTTGGAGGGAGAGAGAAGTTACCCAAGGCCACACAGTGATGTTAGGATTCAAATCTATGTTGGTTAGGCTCCAAATCCCAGGAATTTAGCTACTGTATTACAGTGTCTCTCCTTTAAAAGGGACAACATCCTATAGGGGGGCACTCGTTTTCTTCCACAGCTGTCTGAAGTCTCATTCTCATGCTCAGTAGTGTCCTGAGTTTCAAAATAACAATTTGCAGATCCCCTGAAAATCAGAAGTCCCAACGCAACCTCGCCTCGTTAGCATTCGAAACCAAACTTTTAGAGCAAGTAAACCTTTTTACTCACAAACAAAAATTGTAGAAAAGGAATGATTTAGAAAGTAGAATGTCTCTGGGGGAGTTTTAGCAAAAATTAGCATTTTTTTTTTTTTTTGGTCAAAAATTTGCAAAACGAGGCTCCTCACAAAGACTCCAAAGTTTTTTGGCTTTTGTGTGTGTGTGTGTGTGTGTGTGAGAGAGAGAGAGAGAGAGAGACAGAGAGAGAGAGATAAAACAGGGAATTCTTCAGGTGACAACTGTCCTCAGAAGAAAAAAAATCTCATGCCTTTTGGGCACTTTTCAAAGAAACAGGAGGTAAGTCTTGCCTGCAGTTCTCACTCTTCAATAAAGTTACATAGTCAAATACCAACCAGGGTTCTCAAAAAGCATTCATGTGCTTTTCTTTTTCTCTTTTTTCCTTATTTTAAAGATTTTTACTATTTTTTTTTTTTCCAAGTAGGCTCCCTGGCCAGCATAGAGCCCAAGGCGGGGCTCGAACTCATGAAACTGAGATTAAGACTTGAGGTGAGGGCGCCTGGGTGGCTCAGTGGGTTAAGCCGCTGCCTTCGGCTCAGGTCATGATCTCAGGGTCCTGGGATCGAGCCCCACATCGGGCTCTCTGCTCAGCGGGGAGCCTGCTTCCCTTCCTCTCTTTCCGCCTGCCTCTCTGCCTACTTGGGATCTCTCTCTGTCAAATAAATAAATAAAATCTTAAAAAAAAAAAAAAAGACTTGAGCTGAGATCAAGAGTTGGACACCTCACTGACTGAGCCACCCAGGCACCCCAATATTTTATTTGTAAGTCATCCCTACCCCCACATGGGGCTCAGACCCACAACCCCCAAGATTGAGAGTTGCCTGCTCCACTGACTGAACCAGCCAGGTGCCCCTCAGTGTGCTTTTCAACTTATTCTAACATGATCTGTTATTCTAGAAATTTAAAACCTGCAACTATTTCATTTACGATATTTTCTTTTGAAGATCCGGATTTATTTTTAAACAAATGATGGTTTGGGAAGCCGCCACTCCCCAGATATCACACACACACATACACAAATGATATTCCAGCAAGGAAAAAAGGAAACAAAGAACATCTTTGTTGGATTGCCAGCCTGCCCCCAGAGGAAAGCTGACTTGTAAACAAAGGTACAGGTTAATGATACAGAGACCTGTTTCTCCCAGGCCCTAACAGCATTTATCATCACTAATTTTTAAGTAAACTTTTCAAGTATAACCTGCAGACAGAAAAGTGTACAAATCGCAGTGCACAAATGTACTTCTGCAAAGGGAATCCATTTGTGGAACCGCCACTCAGATCAAGGAATGGGACATGACACGCGGGGTCCCAGAAGTCCCCTTCGCACCCCCTTTCCAGTTATTACCTCCCCGCCCCCAACCAAATCGCCCCTATTTGGATTTCTATTACCAGGGATTACTTTTATCTCAGCCAAAATGTGTTTGTTTTTGTCTTCACTGGCTGCTGTTGCCTGAAATCCAGGGAGGATCTTGGACCATTTCTGGGGCAAACAGGTCCTGTGCTTTTAGTGGTGGTTCTCAAAGTGATGCCCACTGGCAGCAGCACCAACCAGGGAACTTAACTAGAAAAGCAAATCCTCGGATCTAACTCTGAAGCCACAGAACTAGGAATTCTGGGAGTGGGACCCAGGAATTACCCTCCAGGTAAGTTTGATGCAACTCAAGTTTGAGGGAGGTTGCTCTAGGAGTTCATAAGAAGCCCTGAGCTTGGTTGGTTGCCAGGGTTCCCAGTGGCCGAAAGGTGCACTGAGCTCCTCCAATCAGTCTTACAACCCCAAAGAAAGAACTCAGAGGACACAACAGAGCGGCCTGTGGCTTTTTATAGTTAAAAAAGGAAAACAAAAAAAGATGACAGAAGTTCTCAATCAAAAGTGTTCTTCAGAAACCCCTGAATAGGTTTTTGCTTTTGTTTTGAATCACTTGACTAAATACAGATGCTTGGACCCCATTCCAGACCTACTGAGTAGGAATTTCCAGAGGCTGAGGCCTGGGTATTCACTTTAAGTGTTCCATAAATTAGGGGCGCCTGGGTGGCTCAGTCGGTTAAGCGTCTGTTTTTGGTTCAGGTCATGATCTCAGGCCCCTGGGATAGAGCCTCCGCATCGGGCTTCCTGCTCAGCAGGCAGTCTGCTTCTCCCTCTCCCTCTGCCCATAACCCCTGCTTGTTCTCTCTCTCTCTCTCAAGTAAATAAATAAATAAAATCTTTAAAATAAATAAATAAATATTCCATAAATTCTATCAATTAAGGACCATGGCAGGCCTCTCTGAGCCCAAGTTCAAGTCCCCTGTAAAGCTGTGCCTATAGCTGACTGTTACCAGAAGGCTTCTGGGCAGGCAGTGTATCAGTTATCCACTGCTGAGTAACAGCCTCCCCCTGAATTTAGTGGCCGATAGCTGCAAAACGTTTATTATTTCACAGTTTCTGTGGCACATGAATTGGAGAGTGGCTCAGTTGGGTGGTTCTGGTTCAAGGACTCTTGTGAGTGTTGGGGCAGTGTCAGCCGCAGCTTCAGGCATCTGAAGCCTTGCCTGGGACTCTACTTCTTAGATGGTGCACTTAATTGGCTGTTGGGAGGAGGCCTCAGTTCCCTGCAATGTGGGCTCTTCCAGAGGTCACTGAATTTCTTCATGACATAGTAGCTGGTTTTCCCCAGAGAGCAAGAAGGAGTTGCTCTTCTTTTTTTGACCTGGTCTCAAATACACACACTTGGGCCTAATTTGTCAGTGAAGCTCCCTTTACCAAAATGTGATCCCGTGCAGTGCACGTTTTAGAGCATAAAGAGCTAGAGAAAGAAAGTCCGTAATTCCATTCCTGCGCAGGCTGTGTCATCCTTCCTTCTTCGCCAGCCTACTTTCTCACCAGTTTAAGGCGCACGTGCCAGATGGAAGCTGTGAAGCACGTGGGGTTTGGGGTCAGGCTGGCTCTAAAATTTGTTGGCTTGTGAGGCATCACGCGAGTCACTTAACCTCCCTAAACCTCAATTTCCTTATCTGTAAAATGGCTCAATAAGCTTGCCTCTTAAGATTTTTGGAGAGACCAAACGAGATAACACATACAGGCACTGTCACAATGCCAAGCTGGTCTTGATCGGTTCTGGTTTGCAATGGATAGTCTTCCCAAATGTGT